AAAGCTGAGGGTTACGAAAACTCGAGCATTCCTATTTGCAAGTAACGGTGGCTTTTGAGAAGACAGACATGCCGGATTTATGCGAATGGTCGACATGTACGAACACGGATTTTGACTCCAAGCATTTCCAATATCACGCTGCACTGATTGAAGCAAAGCAATCGTGAAATAATTCTCAGCTCACTAATGGCGTGCTTGAACAGAAACCTTGTGAAATAGGGACTTACGGCGCCGCAACACCTATGACTCATTATTTCACTAAATACAGCGATCTTACAAATCAATACAGCCTACGTTACCGTAATAAGCGGAGGCGCGGATTTAAAAAAATTGCTATAGATGACTATCTCGGCCGAAGTTTGCAAGTTATTCAGTCAGTATTAAGTCCACCTTTAGCTTTCCATAACATAACTGCAAGACGCTGTTAAGTGATTTTTTTAAAGCTATAAATCAACTAGTGACTCCGACTCTGTGGCCCGATTCTCACGGGGGCAAAGGTTTGGTGGTAATGGTGGGGATTCGCTGTTGCTTAGAGAACGTAGAATCGTACTCTTGCAACGCTTCAGAGAGTATGCTGCCAAAAATAGTGTTACCTGCAAGGAAAGCTACTGTAGTCGAGCTGAGAGCGGCACATGTATGTGGAACCCATTCCAGTCCCGTTAAAGGCGGCGAATCATTAAAACGAAAGTCAGTAACAGTAATGCTGTGTGAGATAGTTTTAGTCTGCGACTTAACGACTCAAAGAATAATGCAAGGCCGTTACAGCATTACTCTACACAACTGCCTAGTATCTTTGTGTTACTAACCAAGAAAAAACCAGCACATTTACCGTTTTTTCTGGGCCCAGAATGGTTGCAAGCCATCTTGTCATATCTTCCCCGTCGGGGAAAGCGGAAATACCCTTTTCGCCAGACATCTGAGAAGATTAAACGCTGGAAAAACCTGACATACCATCAAGTCCATTAACTCTTTTTGCAACCTAGACAAGTAATTAAAAGGAGGAAAGATAGTACCGTTTGGTGACGCTATCGCCGTTCATTATCACTTGGCTGAATGAAAAAATACGAATACAACTGTAAACAATCGACGACCAACACTCAAACTCAAATCAAGCGGCCTTGTCTTCAAATAGGCCGCTTGGCGCGCAAGTTACCAAACTTGACACAGATGTACTGCAGCAGATATAAATATGTGTGAGATTTATTCGGAGAATCAAGGCTCCTGAATAATATTGCTTTTCTGTTGTGGAACCCCTCGGAGAAGAACCTTAATCAAGTCCTTAAGTGCTCCGTTGAAAAATGAAATTAGGGAATTGTAGTAACCTTTATTGCTACTACTAACACTAAAAACGACAAAGTACAACGGCTAAATGAATTAAAGTGGAAAAAATGGTCAACGAATCGTTTGACAGCAAGAATGTGAAATGGGTCAAAACAGAGGAAAGGTGGGTGTGCGGAAAAGAAAATGTAACCTAAAACTATCATCTGGTATTAAATCACCTAGGGTTTTAACGCACATCACTAAACCGAAAAAAAAAACTCTATGAAGCATAATACGAAACGCCGTGCTTTTTATGTCTTCGCGGACGGCCTAAACCAACACATTGAACCAAACCAATTCTTAAATAATTACATATAGTGGTTCGGATTGCTTCTTCATGCAGCCCATTTCAGTTTTTGTCTGCGAGCACAGATTTTATTGTCGACTTCGTGTGTTCTCAATATTATTTGGAATTTCTGCTGGGTGCCCTTGAACATTTTAGAAAGTAAACTGCTGTAAAACGCTGCACACCTATTGGTTTTCCGTACACTGATTACTATAGGTTTTTCCACAACGTCTACTCCATTTAAAAAATCATTTCAGTCTAGTTTATCAAGGGTAATAGGCATGAGCCGTTGAGGTCGCTATCTGCCAGGCAAACTCACTTTTGGTGTACGGAGAAAGCATGTTGGTCACAATAGTGTAAATGGAACCATAAAATAGGACAAATCATGTTTTAGTCACAGAGATTAAGTTCGATCTCTTATCACTTTATTTCATATTATATATATGTTTATTATGCCAGTTTATAGGCAATTTGGAACGTTAATCCGTAAAGATTTCTTTGATAGCCTTCCATCGACAGCGAGATCACAAAATCTTGGATGAGGGTGTTCTACCCTTTGATCTGTCTGATAGACAGGGAGGAATTGCACTTATTCAGCCTTGCCAACCGAATGTGCAGTTTTAACTAGTGAGCCTGGATATTGGTGGTGGTATTGTAGTAGTTTTAGTAGTAGTAGCGAATTCAAATAGTCATCAAAAGCCCAGCAGCAATACAACCACACTGACGCCTGCGTGTTTGCATTGGAGACGCCAAAGCAGAATGGAAAACCGTTTCCGCTTCGCTTGTACTAGCTTAGGGTAATAAGATCATTTACGTTGGGGACTGATTAACAGAACTTCGGAGACTTCAGGTAAACCTCAGTCAGTTGGAGGAGTGGTCAAATCGTAAACTT